TCATTAAAAACCTCAATATGGAAAACCACTTGGGACAAAAACCACATTGAGGGAAAAAGAGTGTGTTGGTTTACCTTAAGCCCAAATGTTCACCTTACTTTTGATTATCTCACTGCTATTTTGTCTAATTATATATCATTGTTTATAGAGCGAGAAAAATCTCTGTGGACAAAGAGATATGAGTAAAAATTATCAAACTAAATCGATTTTACTTTATTTGATTTTACTGTAAAAATGAGAACTGACCCGAACCCGTAAAAACCGACCCGAACCTGAAAAAACCTAACCCGAACCCGACCCGAAAAATTAAAATACACGAATGTGCTCTTCATTGTTATTTATACACAGAACTCTAGCTCAACAAAAAATAAAAAATTTAATCAATATTTTAATAATTTAAAATTTAAGTTAATTAAAAATACATTAAAAAGTTTTAAAAAAATTTAGCGATAGAATGAAAAGAATACAATTTATAGAAACATATTAAATATTTTATTTTGAAAACAAAGATTTATGTAAGGAACTTATCATACCACGAATCAATGTTTTTATAACCAATAAAAACAAAGTTTTAAATATTTTTGGATATTTCGGAACTAGAGATCGAGAACCTGTGCCAAGCTTAGGTTTTTAATGAGGTTATTCATACAAGTGTCAAGTTTATACACAATTGGGCATTGTGGTATAAACTTGAGGGGGAGTGTTAATCAAGAAGACATTTAACACTAACTAAGTCCTAGTTAAGGGTTAAATGTAGGTTACTTGGGTTACTCGGGTTACAGGTTACTTGGGTTACTCGGGTTACAGGTTACTTGGGTTACTCGGGTTACAGGTTACTTGGGTTACTCGGGTTACAAGGCTAAGAGAGGGTATGATTGTCTTTGTACACACCCCCTTAGACCTAGAGTTTGTTCTCAATAAATACTAAAGTGTGCCTCCATTTGTAACTCTAACTCTTATCAATCTAATACATCTTCTTTCTCTCATCATGGTTCTTCCTATTCTTCCAACTTAATCTTCAAATATTATCAAGGCAGTCTCTGTTGTAGACATCGGAGACAATCATTGAATAACAGTGGATTTGGTATGATATTTACAAATTGTTGATTGAATAACAAGAGATTGTGAATTATTTTAAGTGATTTTATATAAATTCCAACTTCAATAACATAGGATTTGAGAACAAATTTAAAAATCAACAGTTGAATAACAGGGGATTTTAATAAAAAAACCAAAATCATCTAAAATTCTTCATCCAATACACCCCCCTAAAGTTATACACTTGCAAAGATGCATAACTACCTATTTTGTGATAGAGTATCCCAAAAACTATCCTAAGGTTAGAAAACGAGCACAGACCGTTGATATGCACTCCTAAAGCAGAGACAAAAACACAAAAAAAAAAGAGAAGTTAATGTACATTGTTCATAAGATACAAGAAAATAATAAAATTCAACCTTAAAGAGAGAAAAATAAAGAACTCGTAGAAAGTGAGAAAACGAAGTAATACAGTCACTTTCAGGTTCTCCGAGTCACTTTCTTGCGAGTCACTTTCTTGACAGTCACGCCAGGTGTTAGAAGGACAAAATCTTGAAATAATACATTTGGCTTCTTTATCCTTTTTCCTCTTCCTTTACTTGCTTGATCACTCTGAGTGACATTCGTAACCTGATTCTCTTCAAGTCTTTCAACCTGATTCTCCACAATCAAATCAGAGTAAAATTAGAGGTAAACAATTAAATAAGGCAATGAGCGATAACCAAACTGTTCGGATTTGAGAGTATCTCTCACCTCCGGCAGCTCCCGCACCACAGTTTCGTAGTCCTCTGTTGCTTGAACACTCCGAGGAGGGACAGTCGTAACTTGAACACTCCGAGGAGGGACAGTCGTAACTTGAACACTCCGAGGAGGGACAGTCGTCACCTGAGTGGAGGGAGTATCTGTAGTTTCGTAGTCCTCAAACTGTTCGGATTTGAGAGACCACATCAAACCAAGGGGAGTTCAAAGTTCATTTGTGCTAAAAAAAAGAGAATAAACGTCACCTGAGTGGAGGGAGTATCTGTCACCTCCGGTCGCTCCGGCTCCATAGTTTCGTAGTCCTCTGTTGCTTGAACACTCAGAGGAGGGACACTCGTAACCTGATTCTCTTCAAGTCTTTCAACCTGATTCTCCACAATCAAATCAGAGTAAAATTAGAGGCAATGAGCGGATAACCAAACTGTTCGGATTTGAGAGAGCACATAATGCACATCAAACCAAGGGGAGTTCAAAGTTCATTTGTGCTAAAAAAAAGAGAATAAACGTCACCTGAGTGGAGGGAGTATCTCTCGCCTCCGGCAGCTCCCACTCCATTTCGCTGCTATGTGCCTCTTCATACTCTTCGGAGGTTCAATTTGAAAAGAATGACAAGTAGAATATCCACCACTTGCAACTCTTCCTCCCTAATAAAACTTTGTTATTACGGAGACAAAGACAATAATACGAAGTACACAAAGACAACCAAAAAAATCAACTTAAATAATCAACTCACTTCAGGAACACTCGTCACCCCATCTCGAGCAATTTCACAGATAAAATTTTCATATCGCTTAGTCCACTGCTCAGTCACGAATTTGTAGTAAGATCTGACAGATTTCCAATTTTTGTTTTTATGTTTGCTCAGATTCAATTTCGTCCCTTTCTTAATCTTTGGCCACAATGTTTTCACTTTTCACATTTTAAATTTGCTTACATATAAAGTTAAACATTTCTACACTTATTTGATATTACTCATCAAGAAAATCTTAACCAAAGTCATAAATACTGATGTTTAGAAACAAAATATCAAAAACAAACAAATCTCTTTATGATATTACATTACTCATATGAGTAATGTTTAGGGATTTAGTAAATACTCTACATTACTTGAGTTTTGCAAAGTTTTGTAACCTTAAACAAATATATGTCCTCTATAACCCTAATATGAGTGTTATAGAGTGATATATGTCACCATTTTGGATCGAAATGTGTAGATTTCAAAAATTTGCCTTGTGACTAATATATCACAGTCACACAACCGTCGCAAATTTGCCACCATTTTGGAACGATTTGCCTGTTGGCGACTATTTTGCGACTATTTTTGCAACTATTTACCGACCATAGTTGCGACTATTTTGGTACTAAATGTGAAATTACTTGAGTTTTGCAAAGTTTTGTAACCTTAAACTAATATATGTCCTCTATAACCCTAATATGAGTGTTATAGAGTGACATATATAACCATTTTGGATCGAAATGTGTATACCTCTCCTTCTGCGTTGTGACTATATATTACAGTCACAATCTGGTCGCAAAGTTGCCACTATGTTGGAACTGTTTACCATTAAGTGACTATATTGTGACTATTTTTGCAACTATTTGCCGACCATTATTGCGACTAATTAGGTACTAAATGTGAAATTTCTAAGATGTGTTTTAATATAAGTTATTTTTATTATGATGAATGAATTTTAATATAAGTTATTTTTATTTGTTTAATAAAAGTTTAAAGATGTGTTTTGTAAGATATTCAAGCATGTGTGTTTTATTAAAAAAAAAACAAACAAAAAATCAAAACATAGTCTCAGTTTATATATATAAATATTTATAGCATATTACCGATTAAGTATACTGGCAATTTGGTAACATACTTTCCTTAGGACTTATAGGACACCGGATCGAATCTACCCAAATTTTTTTCGTACATTTTAAAATAAGTCGCAAAACGGTCGCACTTTTGCGACCGTTTTGAAAATTGCGACCGTTTTGCGACAAACATATATTGAAACGTTTATCCACCAATTATCTCTTAGTCGCTAACTAGTCGGTCATTTGCGACTAGCACCTGAAGATTTTGCGACTGTTTTGCGACGAACACCTGAGATTGCGACTCATATGCGACTATTTCCCAACTCTCGATTTTTGTTTTCTCACTTTTCACATTTTAAATTTGCTTACATATAAAGTTAAACATTTCTACACTTATTTGATATTACTCATCAAGAAAATCTTAACCAAAGTCATAAATACTGATGTTTAGAAACAAAATATCAAAAACAAACAAATCTCTTTATGATATTACATTACTCATATGAGTAATGTTTAGGGATTTAGTAAAAACTCTACATTACTTGAGTTTTGCAAAGTTTTGTAACCTTAAACAAATATATGTCCTCTATAACCCTAATATGAGTGTTATAGAGTGATATATGTCACCATTTTGGATCGAAATGTGTAGATTTCAAAATTTTGCCTTGTGACTAATATATCACAGTCACACAACCGTCGCAAATTTGCCACCATTTTGGAACGATTTGCCTGTTGGCGACTATTGTGCGACTATTTTTGCAACTATTTACCGACCATAGTTGCGACTATTTTGGTACTAAATGTGAAATTACTTGAGTTTTGCAAAGTTTTGTAACCTTAAACTAATATATGTCCTCTATAACCCTAATATGAGTGTTATAGAGTGACATATATAACCATTTTGGATTGAAATGTGTATACCTCTCCTTTTGCGTTGTGACTATAGATTACAGTCACAATCTGGTCGCAAAGTTGCCACTATGTTGGAACTGTTTACCATTAAGCGACTATATTGTGACCATGTTTGCAACTATTTGCCAACCATTATTGCGACTATTTAGGTACTAAATGTGAAATTTCCAAGATTTTCGCTAAGTGTTTTGGCGGTTTAGATTCCCCCCATTTTTTTTTTCTTTGGTACCATTTTGCGACTAAAGAGCGACTGGTACTCTTAATTAATTAGGTAAAACTTAAACGAACCCTCATTTCCACCACAATCCCCAAATCGATTTAGGGTTTCTCTCTCAATCTCTCAATCGTCCCATCTCTCTCTCAATCGATTCTCACACAAATCTCTCTCAGTTTTTCCCGATTCTCTCTCAAATCTCTTCCAATCCTCTCGAATCCTCTCTAAAAGCTCTCGAATCTCAACATCTCAAATCTCAAATCTTCTTATGGCGCCTAAAGGTAAATCCTCTCGAGGTCGCGGAGGTGGCGCTACCACCAGAAGAGGGGCCGCCGGAGGTGGCCAAACCAGCAGACAAGAAGCCACCGGAGGTGGCCAAACCAGCAGACAAGAAGCCGCCGGAGGTGGCGTAACCACCAGACGAGTAGCCGCCGGAGGTGGCCAGGCGCTACCACAACAAGCTGTAGGAGGAGGCGAGACCAGCAGACCAGTGAGACCAGGAGGTCGAGTCCGAACCTTCGTTGGTCACAGACCACCAGTCACTGCGAGTGGAGTCGGAACATCTTCAAACGCGTCGAACCCACCCTCGGCAAGTCAGTCTGCGACCCAATCTCAAGTGAGTCGTCCTTCACTTAATTCTAGTAGACAGAATCCTCCTCCTAGGCAGACTCCTCCTCTCAATAGACAGACTCCTCCTCCTCAGCCGCAGCATCAGCCACCGTCTCCTCAAACCCAGCCTCTACCGGAACATGATGCGAATAACCAAGTGCTACCTGAAAATGAAGACCTTGTAGAGGAAGAGATCGATGATGTAGGACAAGAAGATGACAAAGAAAACCCTAATCCTGGGGAAGACTACCAAGAAATGCTGGATCGTTTGCTAGCTCTTCCAGGCCGAGAACATCTTCCTCGATTGTCTGTACACCCAATCCCAGATGTTGAAACATTCTGGTATTAACACTTTTGTCCCTCTGTTTGTTTTGTTTGATGTGTGATGTTTGGTATTGCTAAAAGTTTTGGTCTGACATTTATCATTTGACTAGGGTTTGATCTATCATTTGCTAAAAGTTTCAAAAAGATACATGTTATTGCTTTGGTCTGACATTTGCATATTATTGGTCTGACATTTGCATATATTAGCTTGCATATCATTGTTTGTTGTTGTAATCGTTGAGTCTTAGAAGTGTTGTGAAATACAGTATGAGACTTGGTCTCAGAGTGTTGTTTCATATATTAGCTGTCAAATACAGTATGTATATGCAATATATAACAGCTGTAGGTTTTTTGATTCAATGAGTTGTTGTTTTTGAACCATTTTGACAGAGTTTTAGCTAATTACAACAGTCGAATTGTTTTTGCATTGGTCTTCACTCTTTGAAACTGAACTAAGTTCATTCATGCTCATTCTCTGTTTGGTGTTTGCTCTTTGAATCTTTGCTATATCTTCATTTCATTCATGCTCATTCTCTGTTTGTTGTTTGCTCTATATAAAATCTGCTTTATATAGACTAATAGCAACTTGTTGTAACAGGTTTAACCGGCAGAAGGGGGTGCTGTCTCGAGCAATTTCTAGAATATTTAGGAGGAAGTTTGATGGGCCTTACTACAGCTGGAAGGTTACTCCAATCAACATACAAGAGAGATATTTCAGAACTTTTGCGGTAATGACATATATATATAGCTTTCATTCTCTCTTATTGTAGTATATATAGTATGTTACTAACTTACTGTTTTGTGTTATGTAGCGGGAGTTTAATTGGGATACTGGGATTACTGCCCTTGTTAAACAAGGATTCTTGGTTATAGCGCAGAAACGGATGAAAGGCATTGTCAGTCAAGTGAGGACGAAAGGTGTACAACCAACTTGGATTCGACTTACACTTTGGACTGAGATGCAGAACTTTTGGAAGACCGCTGATGCTATAGAGAGGAGTGAGAATGCTTCACAATGCAGAAATTCTGATCGTGGCGGACTTGGAGTGCACAAACACTTAGCCGGTCAGAAATCATTTATTCAAGTTCATCAAGAAATGGTAAGTTGTTTCAATCGCTCCAAATACTTTACTTTTACATAATTTCTATCATTTCTACACATGATATTAATTTTGTCTTTCATTTCAGGAGGAAGAGTTGGGGCGTCCAGTTTCATTAGGTGAAGTGTTTATGAGAACGCATACTAGAGCTGATGGCTCTTTTGTTGATCAAAAGTCTGAACAAGTGGCTGAGGCATATAAGAAGACAGTTGAAGAGAGATTGGCTGAAGTGGAAGAGGAGGTTCAGGATGCTTCAGAGATTTCCCTAGAACATTCAATGCATCCTAGAGAACTCAGCATTGATGAAATGAATGATATCTTCCTTAAGGTAAGTCATTTCTGTCTTTAGTTTGCTTGGATTATATGATTGTATTTGTTTGCTTGGAGTATGATAGTCTTGTCTGCTGAGTATTGTTACTTTAATATCAATGATGATTCTTATTTGTCTTTGTCTGATTTGCTTTGTGGATTGTCTTTGTCAGACTTCTTTGCTACATTCTGGATTTCGTTTGTTTTTTTTCATTTTGTCTATGATCCTTCTTGTCTGATTTCACTGAATGTTTGTCTTTTTTTGCAGTGTACTCATATAGATGACCAAGGCAACCCTTATGGCCTTGGATCACTAGTGGAGACCCTACACAAGGGAAAAAGGAAGGAGAGTTACGCAAGCTATTCTTCTACAGTGACAGTTGTTGAGCTTCAAGAGCAGCTGCGGCGCAAGATCTCTGATCAGGATGCTGAGAATGCAAGACGTGATGAGGAGCACCGGAAGTCTCAAGCTCGGATCGCAAGCTTGGAGAAGCTCATCCTTTTCATGAAAGACAAAGATCCAGACTTGGCAGCTTTTATGTCAACCTCTCCACTCCTTGAACCAGAAGTGATCATACCACCCACCACTACAACAAACACCCTTCCAGCCACCACAGGAGCTGCAGTCCAACCAGCAGGACACACCACTGGAACCACACCAACCTCTCCTCTATCCACCGCCTCAAATGAGGAAACTTGATTTTAGTTTCCTTTTCTGTGTATGTGAACTTGATTAGGATTGTTTTTGAATGGTTTGGAATGGTACTTGATTCATATTCGGATGGTTTTTGAATGCATTTGCTTTTGAAATGGACAGGTTTTGGACTAATAAGATGTAACTATTTTGTGACCAAAAAGTTTCAGAAATTCGGACTAATTTGTGACCAGAACAATTAACAAATGTGACCAAACTGTGACTAAACAAATTTACAAATAACTCTAAATCTCGTATCAAAATGGTTACTAATAAAGGACTACTTTCTCACCATAATAAATGAGTCCTAAAATAGTCGCACCATATGCAACTCTTTTGCGACTAAACTGTTACTAAAACATACACAGCTTGCGACTAATGTGTGACTAAGAATTTGATCCAAGAACTCTAAACGGTCGCAAACAAGGCGCAAATTGATCCAAATATGTAAGGTTATTACAGTCGCAAATGAGTCGCGAACGTCCGTTCGTTGCTCTTTGGTCGCATATTTGCAACGATATTTACCAGTCACAACGTAGTCGGTCATTTGCGACGATAAATTTATAGTCGCCACATAGTCGCAAATTAGCGACTATAGTGATAACTTGTCAACTTGTACTTCTTTGAGGGTTTGAATCATTACATGTTTTCGTATGATTTACTATATAAAGACTACCAAATTTATCAAATATATCTGTAATTCTTTTTCTTCAAAAGACTACCAAATTTATGTGTATGTATGTATATTTTAAAAAATACATTATATCATGCAAAAGAATAATACATTATATCAAATATATTGAAGACATGTTTAAGGGAAAAGAAGAAAGTAGAATAAACAATAAAAACTACTAAGGTACAAATCTGGTCTGGTCACGACTTCCCCAGCTACTATACCGTCTCAATATATGATGAGACCTATGGCAAAACCAAATAAAAAATTAAAACCTCTTAGTATTTTTTAAAAAAAAAACATTTTGGACCTTTTTCTTTAAGAAATTTTCTAAACTAATATTGGACCCTTGGCATTTGCCTACCTTGCCGAGGGGTAGAGAACTATGTGACTGTGAGCGATCAAAGAAGTCAGAACTATAATCTTGACTTCCAAAAGCCATTCTCTGAAACATTCTTATATGAGCAGATTGTTGTCTCGAGTCAAACACTTGGCTCTGTCCTGGTCTCATTCCGTTAGTTATGTTCGTTTCTTCTTCGAGTGTCCAAATTTTAATATAATCTTTCAACAGTGAATAACATAATCATAATCATGTGCTCGTAAAGAATTGTGTAGCAATTGTGACATTTTCTTATGGAATTCTTCAAGTTGGTTAACTCGATGCGATCGACTGCTTCCAAGTCATTCGCTACACCTTATTATTGACGGATACCTCTCGTTCGAAACTCTGCAACTCTTTCAGTCGCTACACCTTCCAAGCTGGAATTCACAGCCTCTGGAGAGAAAGAAATGTTTGGCGTCATAAGGAATCTCCAATTTCGGCTCAACGTCTAACTGTCTATTCGAAACAAGTTCAGCTTTCTCCGAAATCATGGTTGATTCGAAGGGGTGGTCTGATTCTGGTTTCAAACTCATTCATAATTCTTTTAGTTGTTTTAAAAAAAATTTCCCTTCAAAATCTCAGCTCACTATGAAGCATGTAAAATAGTTTATTTTGTTTGATTATAATTTTACTTTCTTTCAAATAGACATTCATTTACAGTATCATACATTCATGGAAATTGAAATATTTCGTCTAACAAGTTTGTATGGGTGTTAGTAGTAAGCACAAGGTTGTAAAATCGAGATATAAATTGTGATATCCAATGCTCAAGGATGTAAGAAAACAGTGAACAATGGTCTGTTGATTTTTTTCTAACACTATAGACCTGAGCAATGTCAAAGATTCATTCAGTTTGAGAAAAGAATTTCGGTTTTCAATCCATTCATTGTGTATCTAAGATAAATCGGAAAGCTCAAAGACTAGATTCTTCCGTTTAAGCTGAAATCAACTTTTATTATGCTTTCATCAATCTTCATGAGAATACATAAGAGTATTGCATTGTCATGCTACTGAAAACTCTTATCACAATGAGATTTGTCTACCAAATTTTAGCTATACTATCCGTTCTCTTCTGTGGAAAGCAGAAAACAAATTATGTAGTTTATTAGAACTACTTTAAAAATGATTATGAAAAAAAAACACTTTATATATGTTGGCGAATAACTTCAAAAATGCATTGTGTAATTTTGGTTTTATTTAAATTTATAGTTACTAGGATTCAAGACCCCCGCGATGTCGTGGGAGAGAATATTTAAAAAAATCATTAAAAAAAACATATCAAATCGCAAAGTCATAATGAATTATATTAATATTGAAAAATAATTTAATAATAAATCAACCAGAATTAAACTAATATCACATGATGTGGTTTCGGGTCAGAGGAATTAAAGGCTTTAAACCAGAATCTCCTAATATTAAAAAAAAAATCAAAATCAAAACAATCACATTTACAAATCACAAAAATAAAATACAAATGAACTATTTTGTCTTCAATCATTGTCATCCATTCATCCCCATGTCGAAAAGAGTTTCTGGCCCACCCCAAGGCCCACTATGGGTTTAAGCCATTCTGGCCCAAAACACGAACCGGTGTGAGTGTGAGTGACGACGATGAAAGCTTTGTCATTCTGAAACTTTGATGGAGACGATTCTCTGCGAATCCGATATCTTCTGATCTTCAACTTCCTCTTATACACTGTAAGCAAATGCTATGTAGTGCTAATTTCTAGGGTTCTAATTTATATTTTGATTCTGTTTTCTAAGTGGAATCGAACTCATTGGTAGTTTCTAGGGTTCTGATTTATCTTCTGCTTCTGTTTTCTGAGCGGAATCGAATTTAGGGTTTTTTTTTTTTTTCTCATTCCAGCTTTGAAATTTATGGGTTTGTCTTTTTCCTATGTGTGTGGGTGTGGCTGTGATTTCTCTTGTTGATAATTCGTTTGCTTGGATTAAGACGGATCCTTTTGGGTCTTATGTTGTTGTGTTCTCTTCTTTTTCAGGGGAAGACAAGATTCAAGTATCTTTTGGACTGTAACATTAACTTAGAATCTGTAAGATATGGACAACATTAGTGGATTGCATGATGACTTGCTCGTGAAGATATTATCGTTTCTTCCAACAGATGTTGCTGTATCCACTTGCGTTTTGTCTAAAAGATGGGAGTTTCTTTGGATGTGGATGCCTAATCTCGACTTCATTTCTACACGCGTCCCAAGGCCTGGACTTATGGAGTTTATCGACAGGAAGTTGCCAATACATAGAGCTCCAGTCATTGAAAGATTGCGTCTCCACTTAAATTGGTTATCACATACTAAACCTAAAGACATCAACCGATGGATTGAAATTGCAATTTCTCGCAATGTAAGTGAGCTTGGAATCGATTATTATTCCAAGAATGAAAACCTATTTCCAAGTAGCTTGTTTACCTGCAAATCGCTAGTGACCTTGAATCTCAAATGGGTGGCTCTCATAGATGTTCCCTCTATGGTTTATCTTCCCTCTCTGAAGACTTTGGAACTTGAAACAATGTCAGTAGTAGATGGAAAATCTCTTCAAAAGCTTCTATCTAATTGTCCTCTTCTCGAAGATCTATCGGTGAATTTTTCTTACAATGGCAATTTAAGAGAGTTCACTATTATCATCCCGTCTTTGAAGAGTTTATCACTCTTTTTACGTAGTAATTACAATTTAAATAGGTATGAGATAGATACTCCTTCTTTAAAGTATTTGAAACTTGTGGACCCGAGTCATCTGGAACACTACTCTTTGATTAAGAATATGCCTAAGCTTAGGGAAGCATATGTCGATGTTGGATACTCTAATCTCAAGACTCTCAACAGTGCAATTAGATCAGTCACATATGTCAAGCGTCTAACAATATGTTCGATGGTAACTAGTCTCCAATTTTCAACTGCAAGTTGTCGATCTTATTCGTAGAAACCTCTGTTAATAATTTTAATATTGTGGGCAGGATGTGTATGGTGATGGTTTTGTTTTCAGCCAGCTTGAACATCTGAACCTATGTGTGTGTAAAACGTATTCGTGGAATCTTCTTGGCCAGTTGCTCAAGGATTCACCTACATTACGAGTATTGAACATCTCTGTGGTGAAAGTGAGTTTCTTTGATAAACTACCCTTTTGCTCAAGGACTCTCCTAAAGACGGTTTTAATCTTATTCTTTTGCTTGGTCTTAGGATCATATTTTTGATAAGCGTAACGGCATGGTTAGCTGGAATCAACCGAGTCCTGTTCCTGAATGCTTGTTGTCGAGTCTACAAATTTTCAATTGGTCGGGATACTTAGGAAGTCCAGAAGAGAGAGATATCCAGGTTTATATCTTGAAAAACGCTTGTCACTTAAAGACAACAAAAATCTCATCTGAACCATCATGTTGCTTTTATATTTAACAGATTGTGGTCGTTGCTTTATATAGTAAAATCATACTATTAATATATCTATAATTCTTTGTCTTCAAAAGACTATCAAATTTATGTGTATGTATGTATATTTTAAAAAATACATTATATCATGCAAAAGAATATACAAGATCGAGGACATGTTTAAGGGGGAAAGAAGAAAGTAGCACCAACAATAAAAACCTACTAAGGTACAAATCTGGACTAAGAGGTTCTGGGTGTAGACCTCTACATTTTTTTCAGGTCTGGGACCAGTATATGTTATACGGTCCCATCCCAAGAACCACTCTAATTGAGCTATTGGCTCTTGGCAACCGATGTTCTTTTATTGAATAATTCAATAAGAATATCAACCGATGTTCCATTATTATTTATTTTAATGGGTTTTACATTGCTAAGAATATATAGTTTGTCATTGTTTTTGTTTTGTTGTAGAAGAATTACATTGAAGCTTGATTATTTCACAAAATTGTTTTATACCATCTTCTACAAATCATCAAATCCAAATGGCTACACAAGCCTGTACACAAGAGCCGGACCAACCAATTCTGGGGTCCTATTATAATTTTCCAAAATAACAAAATAACAGAAAAAGTGGGGGTCTCATTGTATTGTTTCATGTTAATGTGCTTAGGTCCGCTCAGAGTCACAAGTTAAGCGGTAATATGACCTGGGACCGTAATCACAGTTTCACGCCATTCTGGCTTACTCCAAATCTCATCTCTATGGCCCTTCTCTAGCGCAATCTTAGCGCACCAAATTTAATTCTCCGGGTTTTGGCTATGTAGCTCAGGCCACTTGCCTCCACGTAACAGCAAGTTTCCCACCATAGTTAACTATACCAATCAGTTCCCCTAAATCTGAACAAAATCTTTCCAAACCATTGATCTCTCTCTCCACTCACTATACCTTTAGAGTCATAAGAGCATGCACATAGTTGATACTCTATGAGTATCATTAACATTTTTTTAGTATTAATTTTAATGTTTGTTTATTGTTTGAGATTTTTTATGATACTGTTGATAAATTTGTTTACATTGGTGAAACTGGTTTAAGTATCATAAAAAAAAAAAATTATTTGCAAAATCAAAAATAAATATATAAAAACATAAGATTAGAAAATGTAATATTACAATCCAAAAAAACTTGGTTTCCTTTCAAAAATAAAGTATAAACTGATCAGTATACCTAAGAAACAGAACCAAGAACAATTTCAAACCAAATAAACATTAGTACATTCAAACTATAGAACACAGAAGTCGTCCCACTTTGTAGGAGGCTTAGGCCATGGAATCTGGGAAAAAAGGAGAGGGTTAGCATACTTTAGTACATTCAGAAAATAAGAGATGAGCTAAAATATGAGCATGTTCTAGTCTTTTGGATAAGCTCATACAAGAAATCACTCGTTTGCATTTCAAACTGGTTATATCCATGTGGTGCATGAAAATGGAGAAAGTGGAAAATAAAAGGAAGATCTTACATGTTTCTCTCTACAACATAACCAAAGTAAAGTCATCATAAGATTCTAACATTCTCACCAAAACATTACTTCTTGAGTCAGGGAACTTACTTGTTGAGTCTTGGAACTGCACTCGATATAAGCAGCTGCACCAATTTGCTTTCTCAGTTCCTCTCCCTATATCCACAAGTCATAAGCTTGAGAAAGCGTTTCAAGTCTAAAAGATTCATTTTCAAAACAAAACCTATAGCGAAATTACACATATATACCTGACTAGATGTAAAAAAAAATCCGGGTTTCTTTACCCACTTAACTCCTCTAATTTGTCTCATGGTGACGAAGAATATCTTCCACAACTCCTTAAAACCTACTCACTATTTGATTCTCATCCATCAGCCAACTAAAATTTGCATAAACCCAATCCGTTTTTCTCTTTGGCAATTTATCAAACACCTTGTGTGCGCTCAGCAAAACCAAGAAACTTTGCAGCCATAAACCCATTCTTATCAAACCCAATCAAACAAATCTATTTCTTGATTCCAATCCTATGAATCTAAACCAACAACCTTGTATTTCTCAAGCTATAACACGACGTCCCTTCATATTTTTCTCGGATGAAAGAACAGAACATTACCGTGGACGATGGAGAAGCTTGAAGTTCAGTCCATCATCGTTAAGCACAAGCTTGATGTTCTGCAATGTCTATAAGTGGTTCCAGACACGAGAACAACAAGACCTGGCTCAAGAAAAGAAACAAACGTTACAGAATTCTCAACATAGAAACAATGGAATTTTTTGCGAGTGAGATAAGGATGCCTTACTTTGGTCATGGAAAAGCTTATTTCATCGGTGATATCGTTCTCAAGCTGCAGCAAATTGTCCTCCATGAATGAAACTGAGACTAAAGTAACTAGAGATCCAATCGCAGCAACAACAACTGCTTCTTCCTCCTCTGTTATTCCTAACCGAAGCAGCTCCGTCGCTCACAGGGAGATTGGTTTGGTACTGCGATTCTCCACGGCGACAGATCTACGTCGTACCGGCCGGAGCTGAGAAGAAATCGGCAAATTGCCGTGAGAGAGGAGAGAAAAAATCGAGAGAGAGTAAATGATTTTTTTTTTTCTCTTCTGTCGGCAAAAAAATTTTCTGCGACCAATCACGCCCTGCCACGTCACATGATACCCAGTATCATGAGTTTCACTGGAATGATACGGATCAGACCCATAAAACATGTTTGGTCTATTTAAAAATAATAAATTGGCTTATGATACTCTTAAAAGTTCTCCTATGTACATGGTCTAACACTTGAAAACCCCCGGCAACAACTATAGATTACATTATATTCTCTATCACACACGAATCCATTATATTTGTGATACTCGGTTCCTCTCCTACGACTTTCCATGTACCATCTTTGGGCTCGGGAAAACCAATCAAAAGTGAAGAAAATTCACATGAAGCCAGGCCCACGCTCAGGCCCACTAGATGTTTAAACCGTTCACATGAGGTTTTTTCTTTCTAGGGTTTTGTCCCGTTCCTAAGTGTTGTGTTCTGTGTTTTCTCTTGTCAATAATTCGTTTGCTAGGCTTAAAGAAATCTTATTGAGTCTTGGAATCTTTCTGTTGTTTTCTTGTTCAGTAACAGTATCTTGATATGGACAAAATCAGTGGATTGCATGATGACTTGCTCGTGAAGATATTATCGTTTCTTCCAACAGAAGTTGCTGTATCCACTTGCGTTTTGTCTAAACGATGGGAGTTTCTTTGGATGTGGCTGCCTAATCTCGACTTCATTTACACGTGCGTCCAAAGGCCTGGGCTTATGGATTTTATCGACAGGAAGTTGCCAATACATAGAGCTCCCGTCATAGAAAGATTGCGTCTCCACGTAACTAGGTACTCACATATTGAACCCGAAAATATCAAACGGTGGATTGAAATCGCAGTTTCTCGCTATGTACGTGAGCTGGATATTGATTATTATACCAAGAATAAAAATTACCTATTACCGAGTAGCTTGTTTACCTGCAAATCGCTGGTGACCTTGAAACTCCAATGGATAGCTCTCATAGATATTCCCTCTATGGTTTTTCCCTCTCTGAAGACTTTGGAACTTAAAGATTTGATATTCGTAGATGGACTTCAAAAGCTTCTATCTATTTGTCCTGTTCTTGAAGATCTATCGGTGGATTTTTATGAGCATGACAAAACGAAAGAGTTCTCTATAATCGTCCCGTCTTTGCAGAGTTTATCAATTTTAATACCTTATGATTTGTTTTTAGATGGGTATGAGATAGATACTCCTTCTTTAAAGTTTTTGAAACTTGTGAACTTGAATCATCGGAAACACTACTCTTTGATTAAGAATATGCCTAAGCTGAAGGAAGCATATGTCAGAGTTGAATCCTCTAAGCTCAAGATTCTCAACAATGCTATTGGACCAGTCACATCTGTCAAGCGTCTAACAATATGTTCAGAGGTAATTAGTCTCCATTTATCAACTACAAATTGTCGATCTTATTTGTAGAATCCTCTGTTAATAATTTTTAATATTGTGGCCAGGGTGTGTATGGTGATGGTTTTGTTTTCAAACACCTTGAACATCTGAACTTGTGTGTGTGCAAAAGAAAATTTCCGAATCTCCTTTGCAAGTTCCTCAAGGATTCTCCTAAATTACAAGTATTGAACATCTCTGTGGTGAAAGTAAGTTTCTTTGATAAACCTACTCTTTTGTTTGTCTGATGCCTAATACAGTTTTAATCTTATTCTTCTGCGTGGTCTTAGGATCATAGGTATAATAGGCGTTATCGTATGGTTAGATGGAATCAACCGAGTCATGTTCCTGAATGCTTGTTGTCGAGTCTACAAATTTTCAACTGGTCGCGATACTTAGGAAGTCCAGAAGAGGGAGATATCGCGGTTTATATCTTGAAAAACGCTCGTCAGTTAAAGAAAGCAACAATCTCATCTAAACCATATTGCTTTTATCTTTAATAGATTGTCCTTGCTTTATATAGTAAAATCATACTAAACCCTCAATGAAATACAAAAAAAAAAAAAAAGAAGACTATCAATCTATTCTATAATTTTTTTTCTTTAAAAGACTATCAAATTTATGTGTATGTATGTATATTTTAAAAAATACATTATATCATGCAAAAGAATATACAAGATCGAAGACATGTTTAAGGGGAAAGAAGAAAGTAGCAAAAACAATAAAACCTACTAAGGTACAAATCTGGACTGGTCACGACTTCCCCAGCTACTATGTGACTGTGAGCGATCAAAGAAGTCAGAACTATAATCTTGACTTCCAAAAGCCATTCTCTGAAACATTCTTATCTGAGCAGATTGTTGTCTCGAGTCAAACACTTGGCTCTGTCCTGGTCTCATTCCGTTGGTTATGTCCGTTGCTTCTTCCAGTGTGTCCAAAGCTCTCACCACTTGGCTCATCTTTGGTCGTTTTGCAGCTGAGTGTCGGACGCATGCAGCTGCAGCTTCTACCATTCTGAACATCTCTCCCGGGATGAAGTTGTTCCCTAGCCTCGGATCTACTAGCTCTTCAAATTCTTCGTTTTCGATTGCTTGACTCAGCAAGGGTCTTGCCTGAAAAATGTTTTTGAACCAGAGCGGGTTAGAGGACACTTATTGAATCATGGAAGTTAAAGAAATATGGTAAAAACAAGAGCTGTTCTGCAATTTAAGCACCAACAAATCACGCTAACGTAAATTTAAGATCAAGTAGATATACTCCAACTTTGCCTCAAAATTGCGATTTCAATCAGACTTGTGCATTTCGGGTCTCGGATAGGGTAATAGCCGGCAAGAGGGTACGTGCAATTCGGGTAAATTAAACTAGCATTCAAAATATATCCCAAAATAATACAAGACATGCATTTTATTTAACCAATTGATTGAACCATTAGGATCAAACGCAATAGTTTAATTTTAACTCTACTTAGTAGTACTTACCCATTCAACAAGGCTCTCATCACCAAGTGGTTGAGACGTATCTACAGGTTTGCGGCCAGTTATAAGCTCCAACAGTATTACCCCATACGAATAAACATCCGCTTTTTCAGACAGCTTTCCACTTGTTGCATATTCAGGAGCCATGTACCTAAGAAAATTTGACAGTTAATATCGGTTAGTTCTTCTGTGAGTAGTTGACTTTCACACAAAGAACGTTCTAATAAATAATGCATACACACACACCCAAAGGTTCCCATTACGCGTGTTGAGACGTGTGTGTTTAAATCCAGTTCTTGTGCTATTTTCGCAAGCCCAAAATCTGCAACCTGTGGAAATACTTTCTTAAGAATTCAGCGTGGTGAAACAAAGACCGTTTAATGACTAGAATAAAAGCTAATATGATGTTACCAAGGCTTCAAAGCTGTTATCTAAAAGTATGTTGGATGATTTAATGTCACGGTGAATAATGCGGGGATGACCTGCCAAAGAGAGAAGCAGAACAAAAGGAGGAAACAAAAATAAGAAAAATTAAAGATCATTACAAAAATCAAAAAGCAGCGGAAAGACTTACAGTCTTCATGTAAGTAGGCGATTCCACGAGCTGCACCAGCAGCAACCCTTACCCGAGTTTCCCAAGTCATTACTGGTCTTCCTGGAGCTGCGAAGATACAGGCATTGAAGTTTATGTAGTTATAAACAGATAAGTTTATGGTTTAAGAAGATTAGGCATGTACCATGGAGATGATAATGGAGAGTGTTGTTGGGTACATAATCATATACTAGCAACCTATGTTGCTCCGAGATGCAATAACCGACTAATGTAACCAAATGACGGTGATGAACCCGAGAAATGATTTCAACCTCTGCTTTGAACTCTCTCTCTCCTTGACTTCCACCAATCTTCAACTGTTTAACTGCCACTTCCCTTCCGTCTGCAAGAATGCCTTTGTATACACAGCCAAACCCTCCTTCACCGAGAAGATTCTTCTCGGAGAACCCACTTGTAACTTGAGATAATTCATCATATGAAAACCAAGATCTTTGGTTGCTAACCATGCCTGAATCAGATGACGCATACATGTAATCGCTACCAGAATGGCTTCTCATCTTAGGAGGAGCTGAAGAATGCGAGTTGAAGAGCACTACATCTGTCAATACGAGTTTTCCGTTAATAAACAACTCAATAATGGGTTAACAAAAAAGTACACTGTCCAAAACTTAGTGAGTGTTCCATACTCATTAAGTTTCTAAAACTAACCATACTACTCACAACACTCAGTACACAGTTCTCTCAACAGTTCTCGAGTCGTTAATGAACAAACCGACTAGGGTTTCTAACCGCACCCTAAATGCAGAAGGATCTTAGATTATCCAACTACAAAATGCCTTTTTAGAACCTAAGATGTGTTCTTATATGTTATATTACCTGAGCCTTGAGGAGATGAATAAGCGGAAGGAGGCATAGTGTATCCAACAAAGGTTCCAGGGTCCTTTCGCTTTCGTTTCCGAGTGAACCACACACCCAACACAAAAAGGCTAAGAAAAACCAATCCGACTATCGCTCCAATAGCTACAATACCTCCAGTACCAACTCCGCTCTTACCTGATGAATCAGACTGCATAGTGTTGTTTCCATTGTTTGAAGATGGTCCAGTTGGTTTAGCAATTGGTTTCTCTCTGGGAAGAACAGGTAATGGAGTTGGAGGAGGAGCTAAAGTAGAAGGATCAGTTGGATTTGAAGACGGAGGAGAAGCAGAGATAGCTGGAGGAGGAGGAGGAGATGTGGTTGTTGTTGGAGTTGATGGAGAAGGTTTAGGCGGTGAAGGCGTTTCTCCCGGCGGCGAAGGAGAAGGTTTAGGCGGAGGATTTGTTGTTGTTGGTGCAGGAGGTGAGGGAGAAGCATCAGGAGGTGGTGGAGGTGAGACAGTTTGCGGAGGAGCTGGTGGTGTTGTCGCCGGAGTTGAGGGAGGAGGAGAAGCAATCACCACAGGAGGTGGAGGGGAAGAAGCAACGGTGGGAGGAGGTGAAGTGACAACGGGAGGTGACGGTGGTGGAGAAGAAGACGGTGGAGGTGACGAAACAACCGGTGGTGGTGGTGGTGATGATGATACTACCGGCGGGGGAGATTGCGGCGGAGAAGGAGGTGGTGTAACCGGAGGTGGAGCAGATGGAGTGGTAGGCTGAGACGGTAACGGAGGAGGTGCGGTAGTTGAAGAATTTGACGACGGTGGCGATAAAATCGGTAAAGGAGGAACCAAACTCATTTCTTTATCGAATACGAATCTAAAGCAACAAACTTTCTTCTAACACCTTCGTTATCGATCCATTTCAACAAAGAAAAACGCCAAAAATTGAAGCTTTATGAACAAACAAACCCTAATTCCACAAATCAGATCAAAATCAACCTAAATTCCGCAACCTAAAGTCAAACCTACTAAATCAACCTAAGTTCCCAAAATCTTCAATCACTAGCCCTAGAATTTCAATACCCAGAAGTAAAAACTCGAGCTTTAAGCTCAGATTAAGCTACAAACGAAATTCAGAGCAGGCCCAGATGAAGAAACTGTAGAAAGTTCCAAACTTTAGAGCTTTTTTCACTTGGAAGATTCGAAATTGGAGGAAGAAGAATCGAGAAGCTTAAGTGAGATTGAGAAATGGAAGAAGGGAATGTGGTGAAAGGGAAGAGCGTGAGTCTTGTCTGGACAAACGTGGAGGCAACTCTGTCTCTCTGGTCAGAGATATTTGACAGAGAGATTTACGTTTATGAGAGAGTCAGACATGTGCGGAAGAAAGAGAAGAGCTTTTTTTTCGAGTGTTGTTGTTTCTTTATCATAGCCATTTTTTAGTCTTTTTCTTCATTGACTTGAGTTTCTTTTTTCACAAATCTCGATTAAATCACAAATTATTCTCACATCATAACCACATAAAATGCCACGTGGTTTATATTTCTTTTGTACGTTGTATTTTTCAAGAAAACTTTATTGTGTAAAGGAATTTACTATTTTCACGAGGAATAATTTTAAAATTGGAAATTTAAAAAAGTAGGTATGGGTGGAAAAGGAATAATAACAGAGAGAAAAAAGTGTTTTATGGTAAATTAGTAAATTAACAAGAAGAAAATGTGTATTTGGTGTACATGTGCACTCTAATCATGGTGATGTTTGAAAGTTTGTGCGCATGTTTGCTCCCTAAATTTGCTCTTTTTAATTATTGGATATTGGAGTAATTACTTGACTAATTACCGACGTGTACACGGCTATTAAGGTTTTGTAGTAGTGTGGGAAAACACTGAAGTTTCGATAGAGAAGTGCAATTCTTTTTTTTTTTTTTGCTGCAACAGAGATTTCATTCATGAATTTGAATCATTACAAAGGAGTTTTTGGAGTCCAATGGGCTGATTAGTCGAACTTGAATAAGACATTATACATTATTACAAACATAAGATGCTAAATGGGCAGCGCTGTTACACTGACGTCTTATGAAAGAAAAATTAACAGAGGAAAACTTTGAAGTCCAAAAATCGATGTCATGAAGCAGATTTGTGATTTCATGATGTTGAGATAAACCGTTTAATGTTTTGATAAATATCTCGCAGTCGCCTTCGAACAGTATCTTCCTATATCCTTCTATCCAAGTTTGTTGGATAGCCACAAGTAAAGCCTTTGTTTCCGCCTCTAGAGGTGTAGATACAGAAGGTAGAATTGATGATCCCCATGCTTTAGCCGTCCCTTGATGATCACGAATGATCCAGCCACCAATACCCTTAGAAGTTCCAATATCAAAACCTGCATCAAAATTGCATTTGACAAAAGAGAAGTACAATTCAACTACGGATAATATACAGTACGATTTTAATAGTAACGAAAATATATACATAGAAATATTTTTGTTACTATATATTGGAACTGCACCTCACCGAGCAGCTTCGTCTCTATTCGGAGCCTGAGTTTAAAAGAAGATTAAAATGCGCAATGTTAGCTAGGTTTCACGCAAATGCAAAATGCTTAGTTCGCATATAATTAATTTAGTGCCACCTTCGTAATATATAGAGTTGCTTACGACCTTATGAAATCGGTTTAGCTACTATAATCAGAACTTCTCTGATAAGTAATGTAAAAGTCAAATATCTTGTAGAACCTTTTCACAATGAATTTTTTTTGCGAGGTAGAGTATTTCGCTCATTCGTAGGCCACTGATATTTTGGTGTAGCAGATGTTGATATGCTTTGGAAAGAATTTAAATGTCTAGATCTTTTGCTAAATAGGATTTTATCTCAAAGTATATATTCTATATGTTGCATTGAGACTTTCTCTTTGTAATTCTAATTTTATTGTTCTCTTGTTTATTTTTTGCCAAGAAAACAATGTATAGGTTGAAAAACCTACTCTTCATCTATATGATATTTGCACTTTAGCAAAAAAAATATATTCTATATGTTTTATGGATGAAATAAACTTTGCATATATACTTGAGAGTTGAGACTAGGTGTGATTGGCTCATATCATGTGGGCATAAAATGAATGAAGAACTTGGCCGTATAAACTTACTATTGTGTCTTTGTTATTTGTTTTGAATGTTATTGTCTCTTGTTAGGACACGAGGAATCTAAGAACTTTTTAAGTTCTAACTTATCTTCTGCTAGTATAGATTTAGTAACATTCCCATAACGTTCAATCTTTTTTTTTTTCACTCCAACGATATATGGCTGCTTTGGAAGAATTAAGGGTTCATCATCGACTTATCATCGAACTTCATATCTTGCAAAGATTTCTCCGGCCAAAAGCTCCATCCATATATAGAGTCAAAGACTCTAGTGAAAAATATAGAGACCTAAGCCCAAAATGTGGTGTTTTTGTAAATGCCTTTTATTTTTATTTTGAAGAGATTTTGTCCATTATTGAAGTTATCCTCCCTCCCTCTCTCTTTATTTCAAAAGCTAGGAATAAACCTAGCTTCTATCACACGTCTAGTTTGGAACATGGAACATTGGTTTCCCGTGGTTATGGAGCCACTCGAGCTTAAACAACATGAGGAACCTTGGACAAAGACTCTCGTATCTTCTCTTCGCTGAATGATAAATCTATCAACTCGCCTTTTAAATACTTGTCGTAAGAGGCAAGGTCGAAGTGGCCATGTCCACACATAGCCATTAGTATCACTTTTGCTTCTCCTGTCTCTCTGCATCGGAGAGCTTCTCTTATGGTTGCAGCAATGGCGTGAGTCGGTTCTGGTGCGGGTATTATCCCTTCTGTTCTTGCAAACTGAATAGCACCTGCAAGAAAATTAAACATGAAAGTTTGTATTACAGTCCAATGCAAATATAAAATGTTATAAGTTAATAAAGATAATTGAGGTATTGAGATTTGAGGAATTGCGATTAGGCGAAGAACCACCTTGGAAACACTCGATTTGAGGAATTGAAATTGCTTCCATGAATCCTTGTTCATAAACATGTGAGATCAAGGGTGCCATCCCATGGTACCGTAATCCACCTGTCAACAACCATAGACAACACAACAAATTTAGCCAACAAGAAAACCAAGATTTCAGTAATTATCAAGAATCAAGAATCAAGAACCAAAAATCCAAGAACTCAAGAAATCAAGAAAACAAAAAATGATAATCAAGAAGCATTAGGTGTATAGTGTGTTCAAGAAGATATTGGATTTAAAACTTACTAATAACCGGCGTGGACAAAACAAAAGAATGAAGAAAAATAAAAAGATTATTCTATCTAAAAAATCAAGAAATCAAGAATCCAGAGACAGAAAAGCCTTCAAATATAGTGTGTTTAAGATCTTTGGTTTAAAGCTTAACTTATTACCGGCATGGATAGGATCAGGAATGAAGTCATGTCCTAAAGTATGCATCTTCATCAAAGGAGTCAATCCAGCTGTATCGCCAAAATCATACGCGTAAACCCCTTTGGTCAAGGAAGGACAAGCGGAGGGCTCAACCGCTCTTATAACAGGGTTTATATTTCCTTTGAGTTTCTCTCGAATAAAAGGAAAACTCAAACCAGCAAAATTTGATCCTCCACCAGTACACCCTATGATCAAATCAGGTGTTTCGCCAAAATTCTCCATTTGTTGAATGCATTCTTCTCCAATAATTGTCTGATGTAACAACACATGGTTCAATACACTCCCTAGGCAGTATTTTGTATCCTCGTTTCTCGCTGCAACTTCAACAGCTTCTGAAATCGCAATGCCTAAACTTCCCGGACTTGATGGATCGGATTCGAGGATTCTTCTACCTGCCTCAGTGAGATCCGATGGCGATGGATGAACCTTTGCACCCCAAGTTTGCATCATTAACCGACGATATGGCTTTGTATGGTACGAGTTGGCTACTTGCCATACCTATATATAATGTTGGAACAGCATAAAAGAAGAAATTGTACTCATCAACAAAGATTACATTTTCAAGATATCACAGCAAAAGTTTTAAATATTTATGCTTACTTCACAATCAAGGCCAAATAGACTAGAAGCAAAGGCTAAAGAACTGCCCCATTGGCCAGCGCCGGTTTCCGTCACAACGTTCTTGACACCTTCTTTCGCATTGTAATAAGCTTGCGGAACCGCTGTGTTGGGTTTGTGTGAACCAGCTGGGCTACCACCTTCATACTTGAAGTAAATCCTTGCCGGTGTTTGAAGAAGCTTCTCTAATCTCTTTGCTCTATAATCAAAGCAAGAACAAAAAATAATCTGATAAGAAATTTGGCTGAACTAAGACTAAGAGTGATGATACTTCAGCTAAACACCTTGTACTAATCTAATTTATTTATCCATCACATTCTAGTGGATATCATAAACATAAAAAGAAGAAGAAAAAAAAATCAAGAACCTGATTAGAGGAGTTGGACGCCAAAGCTTGTAGATTTCAAGAACTTCCTCAGGGATATCAATAAACCTCTTTTGTGTTGCTTCTTGTTTAATCAACTCATTGGGGAAAAGATGAGACAAATCTTCGGGTTTTATCGGTTGGAAAGTCTTTGGATGCAACGGTGGAGGTGGCTTGACTGAAAGATCAGCAACAAGATTGTACCATTGTTTTGGAATTTCAACCAATGATTTGTTGTTAGTAAATCTCAAATCTGCTTTTGCTCTTAAGCTAAATCCATTATTTGAAACCCTTTGTGCTTGATTAGATTTTCTTCTCAGGGTTAAGTCACTAAATCCTTGATAATCACCTAATCAAATCAAAATAAATGTCAACACATCAGATATTAAAACTTTGAAGCTTGAGTTTCAACAGCAATCAAAACCAAGAAAAACAAAAATAATAAATGTTTGACAAAAGAATCAAGAGATCAAAAGTGAACTTAATTACCAGTGAAGAAAACTTTAGCTGAGACTGATTTGGTGAAATGGTTTGGAGGCAAAAGCAATTGAGAGACCATTTCTTTGTTATCAAAGATATGAATTAGGGATTTTATCAAAGATAATATAGTTTAAAGCTTAGAAGACTATAGAGAGTGATGAGAGATCGGTGAAGCATTTAAATAGTAATAGATTCCAAGGAAGACTTCCCGGCACCCAACGACATCTAACCATTTTAATACAATTTTGTTTTCTCTTCTTTTTATTTATTTTTATTGGACCACTCCATTTAAATCTTTTTTTTTTTGGCATCAATTTTTGAAGAAAACTTGAAAAAATAAACCATGGTTTATTATTAAGGAAAATTGGAAATAAAGAATAAATATTTAAGTATTTGTCCATATATGAATTCTATGAACAAATATTAACTATTCCTAAACTATCATTTGCATAAGATTGAACCAATTGTTTCAAAAATAATTAAGAAAAATATGTATTAAAATGATAAAGAAGACACGAAGATATATAAAATGTCAAAAATATATTGTT